AGAGAGAGAAAGAAAACACAGGTTTGACCCTCCCAGGTCGACTAATAATAGATTTTCTTCTCTTGCTGCCACTCCTGAGACAGCAAGACAAATCCCTCCTCTTCCTCTTCCTACTCAGACTACTCAACATGATGACAACAGGAATGAACACCTTTATCATGATCCACTTACTTGATGAATAGTAAATATATTTTCTCTTCTTTATGGTTTTCTTTATAACATTTTTTCCTCTAGCTTACTTTATTGTAAGAATACAGTAAATAACACATATAACAGAAACATATATGTTATTTGACTGTCTATGTTATCAGTAAAGCTTCTAAGTTAACAGAATGCTATTAGTTACATTTTTGGGGTAGTCAACAGTGATGCATAACATTCAGGATTATTTGAATCAATGTCCCCCAAATTGCAATCCTCAAGTTTGGCCCAAATAAACTCTTTTCTTATACACAAAAAAGTATGCATAGATTTCCAAGGGTTAACTGTGATAAATGTGTAGATCATGATTTTTTATGCATATAGTTTTCCAATTGTAAGAATCAATTGACATATATTTGTTAGACATTTTCTAATAATCAAAAGCAACCTGTATGTCACTCACTCTTTCCACTTTATACCTTTAATAGGATGGAAAGAGTGAGTGACAAACAGGTTGCTTATCGATTCTTAGAAAATTTGGAAATTGCAAATTTCCTTGGCAATTTATCAATTTTTTCCATCGTAAATGCTAAACGTAGATTAGGATGCACTTATCTCCAACATTTTAGCTTGTAATGGTCATTGAATTGGAAATTTTACTTTATGGGTACATTTTATGTGATTATATACATATATATTTTTTGAGTTGGAGTCTCACTCTGTCACCCAAACTGGAGTGCAGTGGCCACTCCCGGTCACAGCCTCGACCTGCTGGGCTCCAGTGATCCTTCCGCCTTAGCCTTCCAAGTAGCCGGAATTACAGGCATGCGCTACTACGTCCAGCTAATTTTTGATTTATTGTAGAAATGAGGGCTCACCAACTTGCTCAGGTGGATCTCGAACCTGCAGGCTTAGACAATCAACTCACCTCAGTCTCCCAAAGTGCGGGATTACAGGCTGAGCCACCGCACCTGGCTATGTGATTATATTTTATTTTATCATATTTTCTGAATGGATATTTTATTTTATTGTAAACCTC